TATTACGTGAGTCAGCGCCACTATGGCGCTACACAGCGGCGACCGGAAGCAACACACTGGAAACACTTCGAGTTGGCCCTCCCTATACCTTAAGTTAAGGAGTGAATGTTCCCCCTTCTTTTACACCTCTTGACCTTTGACCTTTGACCCCCAGCTTCGACATCCCAACTCGTTTTGACGATCCCCCCCAACGACCCGAATATCGTGACCGTACGTCGAGCGGTTAAGATTTGTGCCCAACTGTTGACGGACGACCGGACGACCGGACGACCGGACGGACGGACGATCAAGCGATTCTACAAGCTGCATCTGACTATGTCAGATGAGCTAAAAAGCCAGCGACATATAAACAAGTGGGCATAAACCTGGCTACGCGCCGCTGCATCTTATCGTATCTGGCGAAATGCGCTATTATGTTACATGTCGAAGAAACCTCTTCTCGAAAACACATGACGCCTCGAGTCGAGAGAGAACATTTGCATCAGTGTATTTGCGAGATGCTCACTCCAATGCATCTCATACTGCTAGACCAGTACTGAGAACACAACGTGTAATGCATGCTGGATACGGACGTACATGTTGAGTATTTAATCTATCCGCATTCTATGAATATACCGAGCCATTATTATTATTATTATTTATTATTATTATTATTATTATTATTATTATTAAAGTGATGTATGCGCCAGCTCGCGTTGCCATGATGAAGATAAAACTAACATGGTCACGCTACTTTCTGTATAGCATGTGTGCTGGCTGACGTCTTGTCACTGCATTCATATAAAGTGAGCGATCAATAGCATAATTTAGCTGTGTTGCAGCAGACGACATTCTCGTGCTGTTCTTGTTTTTGTTGAATTAGACCACGCGCGATTGATTTCAGAAATGCAAGCCGTTCCCGTAGCATTTCAGTTACCATTAGATTAACTTACTGAGAAATAGCACTCGTTTCACATATATAACTGTAAGACGTTTTACACCTTGTTATCAAAATGAAATTTTGCAGTAGATTAATGCACGAAGGGTCGTTGTCGTAACAGGTACTACAGATATGTACCCGAGGTAGTTTTAGGTTGTTTAGCATTATGTTTATATTTTTATATGAGGTATGTTTAGGGTTAGGGTTAGGGTTAGAGTTAGGGTTAGGGTTAGGGTTAGGGTTAGAGTTAGGGTTAGGGTTAGGGTTAGGGTTAGTGTCAGGGTTAGGGTACACTTCTGTAGTACAAGTCTGGTACACTTTGTATATACATATATGTACCTCGGGTACATATCTGTATATAGTACCTGTTACGACAACGACCCCTTGAGCTAGATTAATAGGCGTTTAGACTATATAGCCATATTTAATATGTAACACAAACAAGGCCCAATCCAAGCGAAAATCATAGTAAACGACATGGTAAATTCACATGACCTCATTTAAAAAACAAAATCACCACTTAGAAATGTTCTATAATTACACATTCTCAATTAGTAATATACGTTTTAAAACATATGGAATCCGATTTAACCCATTTCATCAAAAGCAAACATAATCTTTGTAAAATAAATCACAGACAGGTGGGGACTAAAGACAACTGACCAATCTGCCCAAGAGAGATGACCCCCAGTATATTTTTGCTGTGCCAGTGAGCTCACTGTTTGGACGTGGTTTTCTACATGCCAAAAACCTTGCAGCATGTTATTACTAAGCATTGTTATTAGAAGATCATATTCCAACAGTGATTGGAGCTAGAGCTGTCAATCAATCATACGAAGGCAAATAGGTCAATTCGTAAGTACGTTAACACTACACACATACATGCCCACGTCACGGATTACCTCTCTTTCCCTCTGGTCGAGGGGGAACGGGCGGGGTGAGGGAGGCGTCCGGCTGCAGCGGTCGCCGAGGGAACGGAGGGAGCAAGTCGTAACTCTTTCCCTCTGGTCGAGGGGGAACGGGCGGGGTGAGGGAGGCGTCCGGCTGCAGAGGTCGCCGAGGCAACGGAGGGAGCAAGTCGTAACTCTTTCCCTCTGGTCGAGGGGGAACGGGCGGGGTGAGGGAGGCGTCCGGCTGCAGAGGTCGCCGAGGCAACGGAGGGAGCAAGTCGTAACT